TCAAGCCGAGAATCCAGAACAGTGGCGAAATTTCGAGGATTACCATGGGGGACGCGGACTAACGAACAACCATCGCGTCATGTATGACAGATAGAGATGAATGCACGATCTCCTAATTAGACTAGGCACGCGACCGCATGGCAACTGCATCTTACAAATACCGCTGTCCTGGCGCCCTCAGCAACGTCATTTGCGACCGTCTCTGGTGATGATGTGTCTGAGCCAGAACCCGAAACGTCGGGTGAATAAGCTTCGTGTTGCAGCGGTCCCATCTTCTTCTCGTATAAAGCCGAATTAAAACCACCGAGAAATACCAAACTTAAAGTGATCAATTTATTAGAGGGGTGCTGGCGCATACATTACAGGTTTTTTGCGCATTCACAATATAAAGCACTTGTAAAATTGAGTTTTGGGATCAGAGCACCAGACAGATAATCAAATAATTGAGTTTGGGAAAAAACTGCTCGCGTAGAATCAAGACTCTGCTTCAAAATTATACATACTAAATAAGCAGTGGTGATGGTAATGGTAGTAGTGAAAAAAAATGATCCAAGGGTTGTTGCGTTGCCTGATGATCGCGCAGAAAAGAGAAGTCAAGTGCGATATGCGGATCAGTAAGTTTTCTGCCGTACGTGCTTCACCCAAAACTATGGCCACATAACCCAAATCTTGCCCACTTTAATTGATCGTTCTCCTCGAAATAGCGAGAAAGGGTTATTTAACAGAGGGTAGTGGCAGTCACGAGTCCGAGCTCTCGTGAAAGAACCGAGGTGATGATGGCGAGCTGTGAGTCTTCAGAGGTTCCACTGAAGCCGATGTCTGATCCCGCTGATCCTGGGACTCCAATAAAGAAGATAGGAGACAAGGAGTGCTACTTGAAAGCGGAGTTTTTTGCCTAGAATTATTCCAGTTAGATCCAACAAATGAAGGCGCAAAGAAAGCGGGTTTCTGAAAAGCCACACCACCAACCCCACCACCGTCGCCGCGGCTGTAGTCAACCAATCGTGGCTGGCACATCACTGCATTATCAACCCTTACTTCATCAAAGTCGCATTTCTTTAAACGACGTTGCAAAGATTCCAGTTCAAGACTCTCAAGAGAGCCGGTCGAGAGAACACCATTGCCGGTATCCTTCACTAACAGATTTAAGTCTAATCGGCTGCCTGTGATGGCGAGATTTGTTTCGGCCAAAAAACGTTTTGAGAAGTTGCTCTTTCGCATGGCTT